GGCCTTGAACGAAGAGGAATAACTACTGTTTGCTCGAAAATGTACGATGAGTCAATCAAGTTAATTGATATTCTATAACTTGTCCAATCGATTTTTGATTTTCTAACCAGAGCGTAATATTTTGAAACATTGCACTTGATAACTCTCTTTCGTAAGCTATAATTATTGTAGCATCGGTTATTATCAGTTGTCGGTTATTATAATTAATCTAATTTTAGTTGTTATTTAAATATAACAGATGGCTGTTACCTGTTTGTTGATTATATAAAATATGAATGTGATGTGAGAAATCCATCGTAGGCACAGAGCGTTTTTCTTTTTTAAAAGAAGGACCAGAGTCGTGAGAGTCGCGAGAGTTGTGAGAGAGCCTTGAAAGAGAACTGTTTAAAAGTGTCAATTGTGTCGTTAATGAATTTATTTGAGTTGTTAATGCGTGTTGTTTTAAAGTAATTTGTCTTGTTTAACCACTTGTTGTTTTGTTATCATAATTTTCATTAAATAAATATTATTTATATTATATTATTAGTACATTATTACTACGTAATTATATGCAATTATTATAATTTTATTATTTTATGATCTAAATATGTTATAATATACATAAATAATAGAATATTATTTTAATATTTCTTTGAAAATAGAGAATAGAAAGAATATAGAATGTGGAAGGTTTAGTTTAATTTGAATTAATGCTTATAGCGGGAGTAAATGTCCTTTCGTAAAAAAATTAATAATACAGAATAATACTGTAGAGATTTAACAGGTTAGAGTTAACAATCTATGGTTCTAAATTTAAATTGAAATCTTAATATTTAATATTAACTATATTATGTATAATGTACATACATACACATATATTTTACAGACAAGATGCACTACGTGACTTGACCATCTTCGCTGATTTTTAGAATATGAAAAAAATGAGTTTATTAACAAAAGTTGTTTAGAGTGCAGAGAGTGTATTATAACATGATAGTTTTTGTAGCTACAGAGGTCTACTTTTTTAAACGAATGATATACTTTTCATTAATAGATGCAGCTTGGTGTTTTCTACAAAAATAGAAATATTCAAGGTGATCAAGTTACGTGATACAAGATCTTGTATGTATCATAAAATTTAAAAAAAGATTATAAATTATAACATTATCGATATTAACAAGACGGATTATAGAATAAATAAGTTATATAAAATATTTATTTATAGAATAAATAATTTATATAAATAATTTTCTATTTTTTATAGAATAAATGATTTTTGATATTTATCATTAAATGCTTGTAATTTTTCCATAGAAAGAATCTACAATGAAAACTTTCCATTATCTCATACAAATCAACTGGTTTTTTAACGAATTGCAACGACTATTTAATGCAGAAACATATTATGCAAATTCCTGTCATTAGACACAGATTATCGCATAAACGTACACTGTAAATTATAAATTATATAATATGTTTCTTTCATTCTTACATATACTTGAAGTACACAAAATTATCTTAATTTTATAAGGCATAAGCAAGCGCTATTTCTCACCGTGTCATAATATGTCCACTTTTTACTCTTATTGAGGATCTTCCAGTGGTATGATTTTTGTTCTACAAGAACACTTCTTCGTTAATATATTCGACATATTAGCATGACAATAATATAAATATATTACGTATCTTTTTACTAACCGAAAAGCAAAGACAGAAGTATGAAAAAACTTTTTAATTTTTTTTTGTACAAAACAATTTTTATTTGTGCTTTATACGACTTTTAACAACAAGGAAAAAGAATAGCTCGTTGAGAAATAGATTACAAGTAATTATAAATGTGGCACGTCGTAATCTTTTTATGCAAACATTGTGAATTACGCTGTATGAGAAATGAAGAGGGATATGATAATTGTTTTGACAAAAAAAAATGAAACTGCAAGAATGTAACTGTGTAATTGTTGTCGTCTAGTTTTAAATTGGAAAAAAAAGTGAAAAATTGCTCTTTAACAGCCTTGTGAAGGTTTATTAAAAGAATGACGATTTCTATTGGAAAGGAAACGAATGTTTGCACAACCGAGAACAGGATATTAATATTTGAAAAGATGACTTGAACTTTGAGCAAAATACATACATTACTTGTGAAGAATATTAGAAACTAAGAGACGAAAATCAAGAGTTGAGTACATTCTCCGACTCGTAGAAGAGGAAAATAATAAAAGTTAAAAGAAAAAATAAAATAATTAATAATGAAAATATAGAGTACAAATAATGACAAGTTATAAACTACAAAAAAGATAAAAATGAACTATAATATAAACAATAAAGTAAATAAAGTAAAAGCAATAGTAAAATACAAAATAAAGTAAATAATAAGAATGGTGCAAACATAAACATGTTAAAAATACGAATAAAATAACATAAATAATAAATTAAACGATAAAGAAATAATGGAAATAGTAATAATAATGACAAGAAAAATTTTAAAGAATTTTTATGATAAGATCTTCTTTTATTTTTTTGTTTCAAGTAAAATTCACTAGCCAAATGAAAAGGGACAGTCACGAAACGACGTAATAGACTTTTATCTAGTTGAGGAAACTATAATTCTATTCGATTTACATTGGCTTCTTTCAGTCGATTATGCAACCGCTTTTTACTTTCCTCGCGAGGGTTACCGGTGCACAAAGAGGCACAGATTAGGAACACTTTCCATTTCACTGTCCAACCATTTTGTTCACGATCAGCGAACAGACGGAAAGACACAGAAGGCCGGTGCCGCAGGTAACGTGACAGTTAACAGCATCGAAAGTTTTGGGTTATTTGCTTGTTGCACATACTACACACACACATGTACATATGCACGCTTATTCACTACGTCTACTCAACGAGCTTAACCTGTTAATTAGGTTGTTTTCTAACACTAAAACTTGCGTATACATGAGTAGTACATGAGCGATCGAAAAGAATTTCCCGATGAGAATAAAAATGAATACTAATTTCACGCAATTTCCGGTAATCGCCAAAGAGGAAGACCTGAAACTCGCTACTTTGATAAGTTTGGTAATTTTAACGTCAGAAAGATTTTATCGTATCGTAAACTTATCTTTTATACGAAACAGTACACGGAGAGACGCAAATTTTTGGCGGTGACTAGACAGGTTTGCGTTCACCAAAATGGACGCACGTACTGATTGGCAGCGAAGAGTTGCCGCACCGCGGTGAAGTAATACATACATTTATTTTATTTTATATGAATCAATTCAGTTGAACGGTTTACAATAATTTCGACGCAATGCTTTTCAGGTGCGAAAGCGAACGCAAAATTTGACAGCAAATTAACGGAAAATCGCTTATGAATAGCAAGGAAAAGTTGAACGCGTAAACTTGGCGGCAAATTACCGCGGTGCAAACTGTTTGTCTTCATCTACTGTTCATCGGAAACGAATCATATAACGAATGAAGATTTGAGAAACTATGATCGAATATCAAATAAACAAATGATAAAATTTCATCCAATGTTATTCGTTGTTCGAATGAAAATTCGTTCGAATCATAGCCAACTCTGGACAGTATTCAGTGAAATTTAATGATAGAAAATAAAACCTTGAGAGACAACGGCACTGACACGTTTCGCGAAAAATTACAAGGTCGACTGGTATGGCAGGAAACCAGTTTTCATTTTCAACCAACCGATGATCTACGGCGTGATCCTTGACGAATAATAAATGGCTCATTTTACGCCGAATAACTTTATTGTGATTAACGATACACGTCGAACGTTTTATCGTAAATATGTAATACTCTTAACGTTTAACATTTTCAACATTCTAGTTATTTTCGTTTGTTTCAATTCGTCAAAAACTTATATCTAATAAAAGACATCTCTGTTATTCTTAAACAGAATGATTTATCGTAAAATTAAACATAATGTACAAATGTAATATGTTACTATCTTTTTAATATAAGTTTTTGCAATTGTGAAAAACACGTTGAACGTGTAATAATGTAAAATAGTTTAGTAGAAGAAAAGATATTTACTATTGCTAAATATTCTAGTTTTCTATATTTTTCAGTGCATTTTTGCAAGTAGGACAAATTTCTGACAAATCTGGACATATTATTATTCATTTTTGTTCTTTGATACAATATATTTCAAAGCAATCCACGCTGTGTAATCCTGGTTTCTAGACGCTACAGTATCACTACTACTACTGTGTGAAAAACATCCCTCGAATCACCATTTTCCTGCTTACAAATACCGGCTTTACCAACCCTTCAGTTCTTCACTAGCCAACACTTGCATCAACATTTTTTTCTTTTATTTTTCGTATCAAATCATTCAACGTAGATGCATATAACTTGTCACCTTCACAGTTTACGAATGGGAAATAATCATGCAGAAACAATATTGGAAACTTGCTAGGTAAAAATGTGCCAACGAACAGTGTCTCCCTCTTTAAGGAATTATCTCGTCACACCAAATTATTTTCTGAGGTGATATTTGAAATGACAGTAAACTATCATTATTGAAGTTTTATAAATAATTGTATAATTTTACTATTTTATAACGCTCGAACTTTCATAAATAGTAATTGATTTCAAACTTTTGTTCCTAGTAATTAAACCAAGTGCTTAAACCAAGCTATGGATATTCTGGTTAAAAGTAATATTAATCTCTGTTCAGACAGAAACATAATTATCTACTTAATTCAATTATCATTTAAATTGTAGATTTATATGTAGAATATATTTTGATAATTTATATTAACTTTTTTTTTTAAATTAAACAAAGTCAAGTATAAACATGAGAACCTCTGCGTAAAATTTGTTTTCAAAAATCTTAGAGTGTGGCACCACTGCTAGCATTCTAGATTTACTTCAGGGAGGATACTCGAGTACCAGCGGGAAAATTGAATGATTTTTACAAATTCTTTTTTCTAGAAAATGACTAACAATAAAAAAACAATATTTCGCTCGTGCTAGGATATATTCACAAGTGAAAGAAAAAAATTATACACAACTATCGTTTTTATATATTTATTATATAATTACAGACTTTTAGAGAGCCCTCGTTTGTCTAGAAATTGCTTTTTAATAAAAAATATACATTCGTACGAAATTTTAGACCAGCAGAGAACAATGCTCAAAGAGGAGATCGAATTGGTAGATAAATTATTAATTTTACACGGGTTAAATATTGGATTTTAAATTTGGAATGCAACAAAATGAAATAATTCTGTTGAAAACATTGTAACATATTCAAAATAATTTACAATAATACTAATGTTTGATATTGAAACAACTCCCTGATCATAGTTGCCTTATTGATTATAAATATCATCGATAATACGTTTCTGAATGTATTTTGAATAAAATTCTTACACTCTCTTTCTCTCTATTTTTCAAATAAAATAATTTTGGTACATTAGTTTTTATAATTTATCGAGATAGACAAACATTTATACGCAGTATAGTCTATAAAATAAAATAGTCCTGCATCATTATGTATTTAGTTATCGTTTATTAGAAGTCTGTATGCAAAGCTTGCAAATGTCGTCTTATTTTGAATTCAAATTGCCACTGCATCTTCCGAATCAACGAATACGAAGAAAACTGTAGCATTTGAAATTACCATTGCAGTTACAATCCTTTAGAAACTACAAATAAAAAGACAAACACAGATATAAATAGATAAATATGATGATAACAATATGTATGTATGTAACACATTGGTGCACATACCTGAATAAATATCGCTATGTAGACTTGTACTGTGCCAGCTGCACAATAAGGATAGTTCGCACATTGTGCATACGCTGAATGAAAAACATGTTTCTGTTATTTTATTACTTTTATATATCTATTTTCATTTATGTGCGAAATCATAATACATAAATACGAACTATTCTTTTGAGTTGTCGTTGAGAGCAGGTTTGCCAGCTTTGGCTCAATACACCAAGTTAAACGAAACAGCCCGCAAACAGATGCGTCACAGTCGACTTTACATAGTCAATGTAACTTTATATACATCCCAGGCATACTCTCGATACTGTTACTGGTTCCTGTCCTGTTGACGCTCATTGTCCTGTAACTTTTGTCGAGGAAAAAGTTAATTATTGAAAGTTTTAAATACACGATTGACATAATTAACACATGAAATTAATAAAACATATTAAGTTTTTAATACATCTTATTATTAAAGCTAAATTTTCTCAAGTATACCTTCGAAAGTAATTTGTCCATAGTTACTACCATTTATAAAAGTCATTGATCACAATTGACCTTCGTGTTATTTTTATATCAGTTGTCTTTTGAGAGCAGAAGCTAGATTTTTTCAAAATAGATATACTTTTGTTCGCACCGTACTGGAAAAGATATCATAACAAGTTTAATAATGCATTAACTTTTACAAAGAATGATTAATAGGTTAAGTGGAAGATTCTTGTATTACTGTGAAACTCTTTTCGTTAGAATAATTACCTATTAGCAACAGCTACTGGTGTCAAGGAACTTGGCGAACTTGAATCAACATTTTTTTTTTCATGCTTTTCCTTATTACATTTTTTCCTCACTACACGACAACTTGACATTTTGACAGTTTAAAAATGGGAAATAATTATGAACAATCAATAGTGGAAACTTACTAGGAAAAAATGTGCCTGTGAATAGTGTCTCCCTCCTACGGGAATTATATCGTCACGTGAAATTATTTTCGGGCGGGATATTTGAAAAAATTATAAATTTATTTGAAATTATTATTTAATTTATCAAGATATACAAACATTTATATGCAATATTGTATTGTAAAATAAAATATTCCTGCAAAATAAAAAAAAAAAGAAATCTCCCAGTCGATAAAGAGAAATAAATGTTACCGGTCGGTAATGGAAAAAAAAAGAGAAAATAGAGCAATAAGCGAGTAACGCAAAGAGAAATAACGCGAAAAAGACATAATAAAAATAGCAGAAAAAATAATGTAAAATGAAAAAACAATCTCCCAGTCGATAATGAAGAATAAATGTTCCTTGTCGGTAACGAAAAAAAAGAAATAAATAAAAAAGAAAGAAAAGTAACACAATGAGAAATAACACGAAAAAGAAACAACACAGGAAAAAACAATACAGAATAAAATAAAGAATCTCCCAGTCGATAACGAAAAATAGAATTTCCCAGTCGGTAACGAAAAAGAGAAAATGTGGCAAAAAGAGAGCAATACAAAGAAAAATAACGCGAAGAAAACATATCGTAAAATAAAAAAAAAAGAAACCCCGTTTTTATGTAATTACTGTTTATCAGAAAGTGCCATCGTTTATTTATGAATTGCATTTCAATAAAAAACAAATGTTTATTATTATATTTAACAGTTTAGTATTCTATTTAATAAGAGCGACTGTCGTCAAGGAACTTGGCAAACTTGCATCAACATTTTTTTCTTCTTGCTTTTCCTTATTAGATTTCTTCCTTATTACAACGACAACTTGACATTTTGACAGTGTAAGAATGGGAAATAATCATGAACAATCAATATTGGAAATTTACTCTACTTAGCAAAAAAAGGTGCCTGTGAATAGTGTCTCCCTGGGGCGGGAATTATATCGTTACGTCAAATTATTTTCTGGCGGGATATTTGAAAATATTATTAAATTATTTGAAATTATTATTTAATTTATCAAGATACACAAACATTTATACGCAATATTGTATTGTAAAATAAAATATTCCTGCAAATTAAAAAAAAGAAAAAATCTTCCAGTCGATAATAAATGTTCCCTGTCGGTAACGTGAAAAAAAGAAAAAATAAAGCAAAAAAAGATTAACACGAAGACAAATAAGGCGAAACAAACGTAATGCAAAAAAATGACTCAAAATAAAAAAAGAAAAAATATCTTCCAATCGATAACGAAAATCAATGTTCGCGGTCGGTAACGTAAAAAAAGAAGAAAATAAAAAAGGAACAAGAGTAACGCAATGAGAAATAACACGAAAAAGACACGACACAGGAAAAAACAACACAAAATAAAAAAAAGAATCTCTATAAACAATCGTATAATTATATTATTCTTGCAAAATTTTATAATAGAATATTTGTAGAATTTTATCATTATAGAAGTTTTATAAATGATTGTATAATTTTATTATTTTATATCACTCGAACATTCAGAAATAAAATTCATTTCAAATTTTTGCTCTTAGTAGTTAAAAGATATGGATATTCTTGTCAGAATTAATATTAATTTTTGTTCGGAGAGAAACATCATAATTGTCTATATCTAACATAATTATCTACTTATTTTAATTATCATTTAAACTATAGTGACTTATATGTAGAATATATTTTGATAATTCTATTTATTTTTTTTCTATCTTCTGATCTTGTATTTTGCGAGATATGACATTAATATGTGACGTTTAATTGCAATATTTTCTTCAAGCACAAGTTTTTGGTGCTTCCTCGAAGACATCTTGAGAAGAATGGCTCGCTATATATAATTTCGCTCAGAATTGGGTATTATTCTTCGAACAAAATTTTATACGAAATATTTACTGAAATAACATAAAGAAAAACAGTCAGAAGTCCTTTTTTCACAATTTTGGTTTATTTAATAAATTTGCTTTTAGTAGAATTTTTTGTTCAAATATTTTGTCGGTTAATCTGTTTTACTTTAGGCAAGTTTCTTATCGTTGCAAATAAAAACAAACGTATTAAGAAGAATGGTTCGCTGTAGCATTTTGCTCCACGCTTATCTCGGCGTCAATATGAACACATCGCACCACCCTGCTACTCTTGCAACTCTCCTCTCAATATGCTGACAATCCTTCGCCATTCACGTGGGTATTCACGCCGGCATCTTCTTGATACTGTTAGTGGTTCCTGTCCTGTTGACGCTTGACCTGTTATTTTTATCGAGGAAAAAGAGAAAAAGTTAATTATTCAAAGTTTTAAATACACAGTTGACATAACTAACAGTATTTAAAACATTATTAAATTAATAAAACATACTCAGTATTTAATACATCTTATTAATAAAGCATATTTTATTTACTTACCACACGAATCATATCCTTAAGTATCGACTCCACTTCTAGTCTTGTAAGTAAAGACTCCAATTTAAATCTAATTATATGTCTTGCAGCATTCATCTAAAAATTTTCACATATAGCTTTAAGTAATTGTCAACATCATATTTATTTATCTTTGAGTAATAAATTCTCGTAATAAATTTTCTAAAGTATATCATTGAAAATAATTTACCCATAGTTACTACCATTTATAAAAGTCATTGATCACAATTGACGTTGGTGTTATTTTATTATCAGTTGTCTTTTGAGAGCAGAAGCACATTTTTTCAAAATAGATATACTTTTGTTCGCACCGTACTGGAAAAGATATCATAACAAGTTTAATAATGCATTAACTTTTACAAAGAATGATTAATAGGTTAAGTGGAAGATTCTTGTATTACTGTGAAACTTTTTCCGTTAGAATAAGCACCTATTAAAAACAGCGACTGTTGTCAAGGAACTTGGCGAACTTGAATCAACATTTTTTTTTTCATGCTTTTCCTTATTACATTTTTTCCTCACTACACGACAACTTGACATTTTGACAGTTTAAAAATGGGAAATAATTATGAACAATCAATAGTGGAAACTTACTAGGAAAAAATGTGCCTGTGAATAGTGTCTCCCTCATACGGGAATTATATCGTCACGTTAAATTATTTTCTGGCGGGATATTTGAAAATATTATTCATTTGTTTGAAATTATTATTTAATTTATCAAGATACACAAACATTTATACGCAATATTGTATTGTAAAATAAAATATTCCTGCAAATTAAAAAAAAGAAAAAATCTTCCAGTCGATAATAAATGTTCCCTGTCGGTAACGTGAAAAAAAGAAAAAATAAAGCAAAAAAAGATTAACACGAAGACAAATAAGTCGAAACAAACGTAATGCAAAAAAATAACTCAAAAGAAATAAAGAAAAAATATCTTTCAGTCGATAACGAAAAATCAATGTTCCCGGTCGATAACGCAAAAAATCTTTTTTCTAGAAAATTACCAGCAATAAAAAAACCATATTTCGCCGGTGCTAAGATATATTCATAAGTGAAAGAAAAAAATTATATGCAATTATCGTCTTTATAAAAATACAGACTTTCAGAGAGAGCCTTTGTTTGTTTATAAATTTTTTGATAGTATACACTTATATGAAAATTTGGATGAACAGAGGAGAATGCTAAACGAGAGGATGGAATTGGTAGATGAATTATTAATTTCACATGGGGGGCAAAAACTGGATTTTAAATTTAGAATACAACAAAATGTAACAATTGTGTTGAAAATATAGCAATATATTCAAAATTTACAATAATACTAACGTTGCAAACGGAAACAACAAACTACCTGATCACAGTTAATAAGTATCATCGACAATGAATCAATATAACGTTTCTGAATGTATTTCGAATAAAATT